AGTTTCTTCAGACTTAGAAGCTGTATTTTGGTAGACATGACAAGAACAACAAAAAAGAAAACTCTCAAAAACTACATGATTAAAAACAGCTCTCAAAAAGGAAGCAATTATGCAGTCAAGAAAACACCCCAGTGGCAGCGTCACAAATATAAAAGCTAAGGTGGATTTAGTACGGGGAACATTGACCAGTAACAATTTATGTTTAGAATGGTAGTCAACAGGTAATACAGTTTGCACCATATCTCCGATGACAGCTTTTTTTTTTTAGAAGGATTCAGTCTTTTAAACTTACAGTTATGTATTCCTTACTGCTATAATCCCATCCTTTTTGTTCTAAAAACATATGCTAAGATAAAAAAAGTTCATCAAGACAAAGAACAGTAGAATCTTTCCCCAGTAGCAAATCACCCACAGCCACTACAGCTTCTCTTTAGGTGGAGCCCCCCTCCCACCCCCTCAGCAGTCTGGGGCCATTGTGCTCCGATGGGGACATGGATGGAGGAAACAACCGTGTCTGCCGTCTTTGTGTCATCACTGGACATGGTACAGGTGAAAGATGGGGGAGGTTTCAGGTGTGGGGAAAAAAAATGTCTGACTCAAGGTTGTCCCTGCAGTGGAGCTTTTCCTCTTGAGGCGAAGCCCTCACGCGCTGACGGCATCCTTCTCCTTCTTATCGCTGTCTTCATGCCAGGTCAGACGCTCCTCGTAGAAGGCTATGACGATCTGTGGACACTTATGATTGGCCTCCTTGGCGAGCACGAGATCGGCCTCATCAGAATCTTTCCTGAAAGGGATGATTGTAAGTTATATACACTGTACCAGATCACCGTTATAATCACTAACGGTACATTTAAAATTATAGATGTGAAAGTTTTACTTCAGATCAATACATAAAGTGCCTCTGAATTTACAACATACGATTAACCTCAATACAACAACAAAAAGAGACACACACCATAACCATCAGATAAGGCCTTAGGCTCATGTTCTGAGATATTGCGTCAACATCTGTGCTGATAAGTGTGTATCAACCGTACTCTCCGATGAAGCCATTGGAGTCAACCCTACAAGAATCGAGTGTTTGAGTTCACATTCAAAATGTATGTTTCTTTACAAAGCTCTGAAGATTTTATTTCCCCCCCTTCAACTATCACTTATAATGGAATAGTGTAGTAGAGACATCACCACGGAAACAGGACACACCCAAGCATGAGTGAAAAGATGTACAACATGTAACACAACGAGTTAATATGCAGTCACATAAAGCTATATGAACTGGTTTACTGTTTATATAGATAGACAGCTATTTCATGCTAGTAATAACTAATGACATAGTAAGCTTCCCATGCCTTTACGCCTGCACACCAGAATTAAGTCTGCAAATAAAAAAAAACAAAAGGAAACCCTTAGGATCTTATCAATAATTAGGACACAACGCCACATCACAAGTTCTCTCAGAATAAATTTTTTAGTAATGAAAGAATGATTAAAAAGAATCTTTGGCCGTGAATTTGAATCAGTAGTTATTATTTCATTGCAGCAGATGCACTTAAGGTCAAACCCTTTGCTAAGAATTGCTAAGCTAGTCACTCCTTTTTGTTGGGATCAGGGATTTCATTCATACATATTGTGCTAATTCTCCAGTCACCCAAAGATTGCTTGAATGGCTTCACCAAGCAGAAACAAAATGGCCAAGACAGCAAGCTGTCTAATCAGACTGTTTAACTGCAAAATGCTTTTTTTTTTTTTTAAATGAATCCCAAAGGAATGGAGTGATCTTAACACAAAGGCTTCCAAAAAACATGGATAACATGATCAACAAAACTTACCATTTCATGAGAAACATCAAGTCTCCACATGAGTCAGTTGCTCCTATAATCTTCTCTGGCTCAAGCCCCCTCTCAAAGCCACGTGCAACAAGGATTTCATCCTGAAATTAAATAATACAGTTGAAATCCAGAGATATTAGAATTACTTGAATTTATGTTTTTTGGGAAAAAAACAAACAAAAACAAAATGGACTGACAAAGACGTTTTTTGTTTTGCATGACATTTGGATAAATGTTCAACTTAGATCGTAGTGCTATTCAAGGTAAGGCTTAACTGCAATTCAGAGGGGCAGTGTTATACGTTTTCCAGCCACATAGTGGCATTTTGTAGCACAATCAAGTAAATATGCTATAATCAGTTGTTATAAAAAATACTGTAACTGTAATGCCTTCAAATTGGACCTCCGTCTCTTTAAGAAACTTGTACAGACACTGGCCTTCAGGAAGTCATCACAACGTCACTCCTCTGTTAACCCTTTAACAACGTTTTTACCAGGTTTGCATGAAAAAGCAGCTGCTATAATGAACTTGGCTGCTGCTGGCTAGTTTGAAGGAGCTGAGTGGGAGCAGTCATGATGGAGGGGGAGCACTGTCAGGTGGAAAATTTGGTATTTGAAGGCGGCACTCGATTCCCTGCCCCCAAACATTTTTCACAGCTAAATGGTTGTCACGAGAGATTCAAGTATTTCTCAAACATGCATGAAAACAAAAAAAACATGGCAACACTCAAGGTGTGTTTTTGATGAGGGAACAATATTGTAACATTAAAAAAGTTGATCTTACACAACACTGTCCCTTTAAGAAGCTTTCCAGAACAAGTATGACAGCTAACATGTCAAATGGAATTATTTGAGTGACATAACTGGACCGTATGGTCCACTTCAAGATTTCACATCGAGAGACACACAAAAAATGATACCATACTGATCCGTTTGTAAATTTACATGAAGAATTACAGTCAGTTAAATTAAGAGATGGCCAACCCATAAATCACAAACCTCTAAATGAAGAGATTAATTCAGAACAAAAAGCTACATTTGACAACCACAAAGGTGCCAATCCCACATATGCTAATGTATCAAATCAGGCTCAGCCTAAATGACCCAATATGTTACATTGATTTCTGTATATAAGATGTACTATATACCTCTTTCTTTTTCTTGGGCTTGCTACTACCCTCCTCATCATCATCAGAGCTCCTCTTCTTGGAGCTGCCGGATTCTTTGGAGCGCCCTGAGGGGCCAGTGGTGGATTTGCTGGCCCCGCTGCTTGGTGTAGCACTACCAGTACTTCCTTTCTTGTAGGTCTTCATGAACTCTGATATTAGCTCAGGACAGTCCAGATTTTTCTCTGGCTCCCATGTGTTGTGCTTGCTGCAAAATAAAACAGAAAATCAGTACTGGTAAAGGCTGTGATAGTATTTTTTTTTTTTTTTACACCATTTCATAAACTGTCTCAAAAATCAAAACTACACATCATGTGCATTGCATTTCGTGTTTCTGGCCGTTTTTCTTGTTTGTTAGGTTTTTTGTTTACTTACTCCGAGTACCCTTTCCATTTCAGGTAGAACTCCACCCTGCCTTTCACCACCCTCCTGTCCAGCACTTTCTCCACAACATATTCTTCCTCGTCAGAGGATGAGGATTCTTCGTCGCGAGACTTTTTGCCCATGGCACTGTTCGGAGCTTAGCAACACGCTGTCTCAAGTCGTCGATACTTCCCTGTTCAAAAGGAAAATAAACAATTAGCAAAATGGAACTCGCATCGCATTAAAATACAAACAAACATATATTGTTGTAAAGTTATTTTAAAAAAACACCTCTAAATATAACACATGATGCACGAATGCATTCTTAGTCGACCGCTCAATACCCTCATTTTGTTATGATTTACAAACGAAAGCGAGCGTTTCATTGTAGTTAGTTCAGTCTGCAACATGCTAAACATGGTGAAAACTCGATAAATTAAGAAGCCGAAATCGAGAAAAGTGATTTTTCTACCCCAAAACATACCTTCCTAAAAGAGAAATATGTCACATAGCATCAAGACATTAGCACATAAAGTGCACATTGAAACGAGGCATGATCCAGTCGTGAGCTAACCCAACCCGTGTTAGCTTGTCATATAGCCTGACAAGCTAGCATTTAAACAAACACGTTGACTTCAGACATCAAAATACAAATCTATACTTGCAACAGCATAAGTTATACTCATAAAGAACGTGTTTCTTACCGTCCGGGTGGAAGAAACAGGGTTTTTGAGCCCTTAACAGCAGCAAAGCACACCGTCTATTGTGAAGCAGCAGAAAGAGGCCAAACGCAAAGGCTACTTTAGCATCTAGCTTGGACACACATAAAAGGTGCTGTGCGCAGAAAAAGCGCGCGTTAAGGCGCACAATGAACGTACCCGCCCCCTTTTCGATAACGTGTTCCCTTTTTATTTTTTCTTCTTGACGTATATTTGCAAAGTTCTATATAAAAATTGTTTTGTTTTTAGATACCATGCAGTTACATTTTTACCCTTATAATACATTGTTTATGTTGTGTTCGTCGTTTCATGGTCGAGTTTAATTTTATTTAAATGTCAATAATGCATCTCAGTATAAACTTTGCCTCTCTTTGACCATTTCCCAATGTCATTTCTTTCATTTGGTTACTCATATATAGACAGCAATTTTATTTCTTCACTTAAAAGAAAATAACAATGAAAGTGGTCATGGTGCAAGTTTAGTAGCACTGGATGGTTGCTGGGTCTATTTTGCATTCCCTCGTTTAATGTAGTGGTGTATGGACCATAGTGGTGTTCACATTGGACAGTGTCCACGTATTCTGGATGTCCTTTGTGTTTATTGGAATAAACAAGGGTCTTCTTAACTCTTTTGACCTATGTGGCCATTTACATCTTCCAACTGTTTATAGTGCATAAAAACTAAGTACGCTAAATCAATCTCGGAATAAAATCTGTAATTGTAATTGCTTTGAGTCTACTGACTATTTTAATGGTCAATGTATTTTTTTTCCTTAAATATGAATAAAACACGTATCCTGTCTCGTGATTAGCTGTTCATAGTGATTGACAGCGTTTAGGCCAATCAAAGACCGATGTAAGACTCTAAGACGCCACAGCGGGAACTACTACCCAATGGCAGAGTAAAAGAGGCGTAACTTTCCCTATTTATTGTACTATCCAGGAGGAGTCGGATCTCGCCTGACGCAGATTTCTGCTCTGCGGTTGTTTTACGAGGAGTCTTCAAGGATAAACCTCCAAGATGTCAAAAGACGTGAGTTTAATGCATTCTTCCACCCGTTATAACTCAGGAATTATTTTTTTAGCCTTTAGATGAGTCTTAAGTTTCAATTCGATGGCTGGGTTTGGGTTGCAAACATAGCGTCTGCTACCGTTTTCCTCCATAGTAGAGCCGCCATTTTATAGCATCTGGGCCTCGTGCTCTTTTGTTCGTCAGTCCAGCTTCTTACGGTACTTAAATTTATGTTCATAATTAACGTAACTATCAAATTTGTTTAAGAAGTAATGAAACAACACACCGATAGGGTTTACGTGTAATGACTGCGTTCAATTAGCATTTAATGTAATTCACTGGTCGGCATGCTTTAATGGCGGCAGATTCCCCCTCCGATTTTAGCTGCTCAGTGAAGAGTGGGGGTTGGGAGTGAGCTGAAGGACACAAGCGTTGTTTATACCGATTAATCACGATTAATAACATTTTGCATGATCGGCTATCGCTTTTTCTGCTTAAGGTCCCACGTGAGCCAGAGCAGCTCCGCAAGCTGTTCATTGGAGGCCTGAGCTTTGAGACGACAGATGAGAGCCTGCGGGCTCATTTTGAACAATGGGGCTCCCTTACAGACTGTGTGGTAAGTGTCTCTTTATGTTTCCCTTATTTAGAGAAAGTTGCGTTTTAGTGAATAATAACTTCTACCTTTAGGTCATGAGAGACCCCAACAGCAAGAGGTCCAGGGGTTTTGGCTTTGTTACATATTCGTCAGTACAGGAAGTTGATGCTGCCATGGCTGCCCGTCCCCACAAAGTGGATGGAAGGGTCGTGGAGCCTAAGCGTGCAGTTTCTAGAGAGGTGTGTGTTGCACAAAATGCATTTCAAAACTTATTGTGGTCTATAAATGACTATGAAAATGATTTTTTTTTTTTATTATTTTTTCTCTTAAGGACTCAAACCGTCCAGGTGCTCATGTAACGGTGAAGAAAATCTTTGTGGGAGGCATCAAAGAAGACACAGAGGAGTCGCACCTTAGGGATTACTTCCAGCAGTTCGGCAAAATCGAGGTCATTGATATCATGACCGACCGCAACACTGGAAAGAAGAGGGGTTTCGCTTTTGTCACATTTGATGACCATGATTCAGTGGATAGGATTGTCAGTAAGTACATGTCTTCTTCATGTATTTATTTTTTGCAGTTTTATGTTGTTGTACTGAATTCTTTTCGTCTTCTGTGTAGTTCAAAAATATCACACTATCAACTCACACAACTGCGAAGTGAGGAAAGCCCTCACCAAGCAGGAAATGCAGAGTGTTGGAATGGGAATGAGAGGAGGACGCAACAGCGGGGGGAGGCCATACGATTATGACAGAGGCTTCAACCAGGGTAGGGCTTGTAAGCAAGCAGTTGTGTTGCTGTGACGGTAATTACAACATACAACCTTAAATGTTGAATCAGCGTGGTTTTGCTTTTATTCTAGGAGGTAGGGGCAGATACGGAGATGGTCCAAATAACTGGAATGATGGTGGTAAGTATTTTATTTTTTTAAATGGATACTGGGTGTTTTTTAGATCACTGGCTAGTAAAACTGTTGTGTCGTAGGTTACGGAGGCGGTCCTGGTGGTCCTGGCGGCTATAACAACGGCGGCAACAGGGGTTATAACCAGGGCTATAACCAGGGTGGTGGTGGAGGTGGCGGCGGAGGCTACGGTGGAAACAGTTATGACAGCAACGGTTATGGTAAATAGTCATGACTTTTGAATTGACCTTTTTACACTTATTTAGGCTTTAGCTTCTTTGACATGGATTTTCAATCTCAGGTAACTGTGGAGGAGGTGGTGGCGGCGGTGGGAGTAACTACAACAACATGGGCCATTACGACCCCCAGGCCTCTAACTTTGGCCCAATGAAGAACAACTTTGGCGGCGGCGGCGGTGGTGGTGGCGGCAGGAGCTTTGGTAAGCCTCCAGAGATCCAGGATGCAGCTGGAACGAGTTTAGCACAGGTACTACCGAGCTTCTGATTACCTTAACTTTTTTTCTTCAGGTGGCTACGGAGGTGGCTCTAACAATCCCGGTGGCTATGGCCGCCCAGGACGATTCTAGAATAAGTGGTAAGCCTCTGTCCATGCATTTCAGTTTGTATTTTGTCAGAAAACCAGAGTTTGTCATTGCAGGAAATATTTGAGTAGAGATAACGTAAAGCAAATACACTCTGGACGTCAGGTCGTACAAAGTCAGTGCATAGTTAACAATGTTGTTCCGTATTGTTCAACAGGACTGAGTACTTAGGAGAGGAGAGCAAGGAGAGGAGAGCAAGCGAAGTGACAGGGCAGCTGCAGGTTTACCTCCTAAATCTGCTCAGCCAAACAGTTGTGGCAGGTTACAGCTGCTACAAGAAGAGATGTACAGTAGATAAATCATGGAGGGCCTTCAATTAAACTTTTGTGTCTTCTGTTTTTTTCTTTCATCAAAATGTGTTTATAAAACATTCCAATGAGGGTTTTATGTTTATCTTTAAGTCTGGCTTTTATTTGTAACTGCATCAAATCAATCTGAAATAAAACACCTTTCAGTTTTTTTAAGTCTTGTTAGATTCTTTAGCGGTTCGGGTAAGGGAGGGTGCATTATTAGATGCAGAGTGGGGATGAGGACAATTCTGAATGTGAGGCATTTGGGAAGGGAGAAGATCGCTGTATCTACCATTGTGGTTGAGGAGTTGTGGACAGATGCTATCATCATAAAGAGGCCATCACTTGGTACAAACTCTGCCCTGATTTCAACAAAGATCATCTGGAGGATGCTAGCTTACATGCAAAGTCTGAGGCTAGCCATGGGAGCAAGCTGAGGGAGAGAAGTAGCAAAGCCATCGCCAGGATCATTGAAGCAGGGGAGAGTGAGAACATAGTCCTGAGGCTAGCTGACAGCAGCTACCAAAGGGCTTAAATGCTGACCGTAGGTAAGACCAGACTTCTCAACTACTGCTAGTAAATCTAACCTTTGACTCGTAGCTGGTAGTCAGTTATACAGCCAGCAATGGCGTAAACTTAAGTTCGTATTTGCTTCAGTGTTGATGGTAAAATTGACCTCTGTAATTGTGAATGGAGGTCAAATCTGTTGCATGCATTTATTAAAAAAAAAAAGAAAATTGAAGCATTGCTTTTTTTAAACTTGTCATTTTTCTACTTTTTTCAGAAATCTTTGGTCCCTGAAATGCTGAAATGTGACTTCATTTCCATGACAATGACTCACAGGTACAAAGGAAGGCTTGTATTAACAATTGCTTTTTTTATTATAACAAAATGACAAAACACTGTTTTGTTTCCCCCAACAGGTTAACTGGACAGTTGTGCAATGCAGAAGTGTTTTAACTTCATTGAAGAGTGGAGTGCAGATTTTTTTTTTCTTCTCTTTTTTTACATCCCGTTTTTAAATAAACTTTTATACATTTTAAATGGTTTGGTTTCAATCATTTTTAAGGGGCAGAAAATGTTTACCGTTACATTTGGCAAGTTTTTACTCAAACTGTTGCAAAAATCACAAGCAAGTTGTTTAGTCCACTTGCTGGACTAACACTGGTCTCTCTTATCCATTGAATGAGGTACCAAATAAATACTTCCATCAGGAGTTTGTTGTAAAGAATATTCATCTGTGGAGTAAGGCTGGCCATCTTCGTCTCGTAAATGAGAGAAAACTTCCCTGTAGAGGTCTGTGAGTCGGCACTTGATGAAAGTCAAGCTACGTTGGAACTCCAGCCGCTCCTGTGCCAGATGTTCTCTTTGGGCCTGCAGGTGGTTCAGCTCTCTCTCCAGGTGAACAATGCTCTCCAGCTTCCTCTTCCTGCAGTTCTGGGCCGCCACCTTGTTCTTTCCTCTGCGCCTAATGTCTCTGACCAGTGCGAGTTGAGTGTCTGTCAAAGTGTACTGTGTCAGGAGCTCATTGAAGTCATCCACAGGGAGATTGATGATCTTATCCAAGGGGAAGGGAATCTTCAGAGCCACAGCCTTGCGCTCATCTCTGCTCAGAGGAGCAGGAGTGGAGCTGCTGCCTTGTGACTTTGTGTGCATGCTGTATGAGCTCCCTCTGCTGGTCACTGTTGCATTGCCGTACAGGTCAGCGGTAACGGGCTGCTTCAGAGGTCGAGGATTCATAGAACAAGTTTGTGAGTGAGGGTAACTGGGTTGAGGTGAAAAGTAAGGTGTGTGTCCACCTGAGTGTAGATATGGGAGAGTTTGACTCTGATAGTCCATTGGATAATGTATGTGGCCTCTTCTTCCATGCTCGGTCATGCTTTCTGGTTCACAATCACTATATTGTGTTCCCATATCAACATTTTGGTAACCTGGTCCGCCCCCGGCAGGATTATCTGGAGAAGAAGTGACTGGGCTGGATCCCAGTGAGAGACCCGAATCTGATTCCAGATCATCCCCAGAGCGAACATGGGCGTTTTGCCCCAGCGTAGTCCACAGCATGTGTCGACTTAAACCCTGAGAGATGCTGGCGTTCGGCCTTATATGACACTGAGCGGTACCTGCCATGTTTATAAGAGACGGCTGAGCGTGGGAGGTGATGGGAAGCATTCTGTGAGGCAGCTGTGAATCTGCATTTCCATACACCGCATCTGTGTTGTTGTTGAGACGATGGCAAGCAGGAACTTCTTCAGAGTAGCATCCCTCGTAAGTGTCAGCAGTGCTCAGCTCGCAGGCAGCAGCAGCAGCAGGAGGTTCTGAATGGGATTGAGTCATCCCAAACTCTCCAGCGGGGGCCATAGGCTGCATGGGTTGATAATGTGCAGCTTCATAGGAGTTTCCACTTTGGACTTCGAATTCCTGTAATAAAAGAGCAGAGTTATTAAAGGCAAGCAGAACTACGCAGTTTTCAGCCTCGGCTATACAATCCTGCCTGTTCTATAAGATAATGTTTTATTGTAGCTCATCAGCAAGATGATATAATGGTTTCATTTTGGAAATATGTCAAATTTTCACCTGTATAGATTATTTTACCATATGAAGCTCTATAGAAAAATGTTAAAATAGGATTTTTGAAAATTGATACAGAAATTGAATATTTTCTGGAATTACTTAGTAGCATATTGGCCCTTTAAATTATGTTGTGATTTCAGATTACAACACATTTTGTTAAACAAGATAAATATCACCCAAGCAAATACCTAAAAGTTGCATCCCTCTCGAAATTTTAAATACGAGTTGGATTTTGTATTTTTTCTTTTTTTTTTTTCTTTTTTGAAGAAAGCTGCAGGATCACACCTCTAAACTATGTAGCTTCTTTCAAGTGACTCGGCTCTTTTTGGTTTGCTTTCCTCTCCGATGACTAACCGTTTCATCTAAAAGTTTTCATTTCTTGTAATTGGAGACCTTTATCGTAAACTTTGTGAAGCATTTATAACTACTTTTGAAAATATCCTGATCTATATTATTATTATTATTATTATTGTTATTATTTTAATCACATAGGATTTTATTCATACAAATGCACCAAGCTTTATAAATCACATGTTTTTAATTAGGGATCAGATTTATAAAGTGTTTTAAACATTTGATAACAGGCATGGCATTTATAACTTTAATCATAACTCAATGTCATTTTCAATAATTGAATTGTTGCCTTGCAGGAAAAAGGTCCTCTGTTTGAATCACGACCCGAGTCCATCCTAGATAAATTTTGTATGCTATCCACATGCATGTGTGGGTTCTCTGGCCTCTCCATGCCCCAGGAATATGCATCAAAAGTTAGCCTGTCCTCTAAAATGCCAGTAAGTATTAACATGCGTCTGCATTTATGGCTGTTTGTCTCTTTGATGAACTGGTGACATAATCCAGATTACACCTCGCCTTTCTACCACATGAAGGCAGGCACCAGTGCACTTTCTCACGCACATCACCTAACTTCATTAAATATTACTTCTTATTATGGTTTTAGCAAGCGCTAAAAATATTTGCATTTAATATAATTCTTTGTGGCTTTAACAGTGTTTTAGGCAGCTCATTTTGGGGGGAAAAACTGTAGCAGTTGTCGCATTTAAAATGCACGCTGCAGGATTTAATGCGCTGGTTACTGTGATGCTTTGCAAATAGCATTTCTGCAAGCTACACTTCCCTTTTGATTTTGCGTATGCAACTGTATTTTGCGTTGATTTTTTTTTTAAAACACAATATAAAGCCTGACTGATTTTCTCAAAAAAAAAATTATATTTTGTTATAGTTGTTGACAAAGTTAAGTCATAATTTATTAATTTGTTGAGCAAATGTATATCATATTAGTTAAAACAAGCATATAAAAAGTGCATACCTTTAATTGATAATGGATATGTCAATGCTAAGGAAGGTATAAAAAATGTAAGCAATTTAAGGCACAAGAATGACTAGTTTTTTTTTTTTTTAATTGAATTTGACTTTGTACATGTGGAATAACGCTTTCTTCTGCACGCTCATTTTGTTCTGCTTCAACTACTAAATACTTCTTTAATCTTTCGAAGGCGGCACATTTGCTCACGGATCTGTAATATAGGTACTGATGTGAATTTTTATTTGTCGATAAGGAAAACATAACCATTTCACTTACATGTATTTAACACTTTGTTGTGCCCTGTTGTCGCAAAAGTAAAAAATAAAACAGTACAGCAAAAAAAAAAAAAAGTAAATTTTTATATCACATGTTATTGGAGGGTAGAAAAATTGTCCTGTTTGTCTGTTATTAAAAGACTCCTAAAGAGCACAAATTATTTTTGGAGGTTTTCTTTACCTGGAGCTCAGTGATGGCCATCAACTCCTGCCAAGCCATGTCCATCTCCATGTCCTGTGGCGGTCCATGAGGCCTGACTCCATTAAAATTAGCAGGCATGGGCAGCCCCCCGCACAGCCTGCCTGGAGTAGCCACCACCTTATGTAGCGAAAGACAACATTTGTGATAATAAACAAAACACATTCTTGGAACTTTTTTCGGCTACGGCATACACCGAGTTGCCTGTTTTTCATCTCATCTCAGGACCTACCTCACAGGTTCTCCTCAATGGGAGAACATAGTTGGCCGTTGAGCACATTTAGAAGAGGCTTTCACTGGAAAAAGTCCACCTGGTGGAGACACATAACTGTTTGTTACAATGACCTGCTGTCCTCTCGCCACAAACTGCTAGGTGACAACACGCTGCTCCACGCACGTCTCAAAGAAATTACACATCTGGTAGCCTGTCAGTTGTAAATAAGAGGCTGTTTGGGTGTTGTGTAGGTTCTTTTGAAGCTTATAAAAGGTTAATTTTCAGTTGAGCTGACTCCTCCTATCAGCTGTTCCAGTGTGCAGCAATGCCAAGCCCTGATAACACAATCTGCGGAAAAACAGCGTGCTCTGAAAGACAGAGTAAGGACAGAAGGCCGGTTGGGAAATTTTGCTCTTGATTATTCCAAACTTTTCTCATTATTAAAGTTTAGCTGGACGCCATGGAAGGAGATCATCTGTAAATTGTCTTTCCAAGTTCGTCGGGAACAGCTGGCCACATCTACTTTACTGTTTGGGGGATTCCTTGTCTAAAAGATGTGACCAAAAAATAAATAAATTACTTATTTAACAGCAGCCCAAGCCTGTAAGGAGGACCGCTATGACTTGAACATCATTTTGAAGACATTGCTGTGTCATAAAAAAATATATATATCAAAAAGAGATCAAAAGAGTTGTATTACCATACTATACCATACCACTGAAAAATTGTTTTCTAAAATATTTTCAAAAATGCATATTTTTGAATTTCTATGCAATATTAAACAGTTTCTGTTCATATTTGGCATTACAGTAAAGAACAAACATAAAGAACAAAGGCACTTGTTATTGTGATTGAATAATTTATTGAGATAAGGTATATCTAAATTTGCATCTACAATTACAAATTATAAATCATTTAATATTTTCATTCTGTCCATTTTTATTCAGTCAACCTTTATTTATTTATTTATTTATACCATTAGTAGTTTCATTATGAAACAGACTATTTTATGTGCTTTGTTGTAATAACTGTACAGATTGAAAAAAATTGAAAAAAAAGTATAAGTGGAGATTTCTTAAACATAAAAAGTCAAATTTCATTCATTCTAATTTTATTTTCTTATCACATTGTATTTTTGTTAACATGAATGTAGACACTCAGGTAAGCATATACGCACTTTTTAATATGCATCATAATTTATTTGAAGCATTCGTGTGTAAGTTATTCCACAATGTGTAATAACGTGAAGTATGACATTGTATCAAATATGTTGTACAGTAAAGGTTGCTGTATTTGTTACAAGTTTCCTGTTCTCTTTGGTTGTGGGATCAAAGTGTACCTAGTTAAAACAAGGACATTTTATTTAGCAAGTTTTATTTATTTAAACAGTTGAATTGAAGTTTTGTGCTCCTGCATTTGGTGTGAGGAGTACATAGTTATATCAAAGTTATGCAATAAGTTCAATACAACAGATTCTCCAGCCTAATCACAATATTTTATTTTTAATGTATACACACACACACACACACACACAGAAATGTAATATGTAAACATTTTTAAATTACATTTCTGGAGAACTTCAAAATAAAAAAAATTCTCTAAAAGCAGAAGGAAAACATAAATGAACGTACCTGAGCAACATCTTTATCATCTTCAGCAGGTGATGAGGAACAGCAAGGACACATATGTCAGTCCTGGAGGTGAGCACAAGAAAATTACTCAAAGCCTTTTTGACGATGGCAAGAGGTGTGACACTTGAGGCCTCTTTGCTCTATCTCTTCTCTTACTGTGAACTTCTCTGTTAGGCTGCACATTCAGCCACCAGCATAAAAGGGATGGCTCGATGCAGACAAACGCAATCTTCCTGTAAAGCACCCACACCAGCCCCCTTTTTTTTTTCTCTCTCTCTCTTTTCTTTGCGCTCTTGTATCCTTAATAGCAAACTTGCGCCCCAACCTTCAAATTTCCCTTTTGCCCTCACAAGAAACCACAAACCAACAGTGTGGCACACACCACGGCAATTATTCTGTCAGTCCACAGTGAAGCAGGAAGATGTTTACAAATCTAAAAAAAAATAAATAAAATAAATAGAGCCTTTTTTTTTTTTTACTCTTAATTATGAAGCATACACCTAACCTGGTTAGATCAAAGATGTAAAACAGAATAAAAACAAGCTGCATTGATGTCTCTGTCCGGTCAAAAACTGCACGAGAACAATGTTCTCCCAAAAGTGAAAAGGTATGAGGAGTGTGATTTGGAGCACCTGGAGTCAGAGGCAGCATTGCAGTGAGGGCCCTACTGGAGGCTTGGAGGCAGGATTGAGACTCAGTTTAGCGGAGCTGGAATGCACACCCCTCCGACAGGTAAGAAAGCCTGCATTGTTCCTATCTGGCAGAGCAACCGCCAAGGGAGATACAGGAGCAGGGGGAAGAATGAAGGGAAGCGTGTCTTACATAGCAAGTGACCATTGAAATCCCACACAAAAAAAATCCCCCTCATTGCCCAGATCTAAAACATTGTGAGGACTGAACTCACAAAGGCTTTTTTATGTTCTGTGTTACTGTCACGTTGCGCTGAACCTCACGCACAAATTACTGACAAAAAAGTTCATGCTAAGTTATTTTTACATATTTTTTTTGTCTTTGATAACAGAAACACCTTGCCTCATGGTAACTCTGACTACTCTATGTTTATGACAGATCACATCAAGTTTTTTTATGTAAAACGGATGAATGATTGTATTAAAACACTTTATCATTGTAAAAAAAAATCATAATTTATTCACTTTTCTCCATAACATACTCTGAGATCTTGTGCTAAATTAAACAATGCGCTCTCATAATAACATTAACAAAAGCTATATGCTCTTTTACTTCCGCTAAAAAACAAAAATAAATACATTGTTAAAAGAAAAAAAAACTCTGTTACTATCAACAATCTAAGATGTGTTAAAGAAAAAAATAGTTCCTATTTTTCAGATGAAAAACAAAGTGAAGATTCACTACTGATGCAGGCCACTTAGCATAAATGCACAAGGGGAAAAAATGTACATCACATGCATTTAATTTTTAACAACTTTATTTTTTGTGGGTTTGGAAATCCCACTTATTTCCACAAACAGGCGTTTGAATTATTCATGAAAAGAAAAACCTGGAGAATAAGTACATGAAGGATATGTTTGGATAAATGCTGAGTAGCTCGGAAATAAAAAGTTAACACTCTCAGTAAAGCATGATGTATTTAATGTCACGAGATCATGACATCCCACTGAAAGCACAAACCTTTTACTGACATTGTTTTCAGTTGGGGGAGGAAAAGTAGGTGGCTGACAAAGTCAAGAAAGGTGAACATCTACCAGGAATCCAGGAAGGGACTTCCCAACTCAAGTTCCTAGCACCCAGCCCCTGACTCAACCAATGCCACAGCATGCCCTGTTATTACAGCAACCGCAGCGGTTAGAAATCTGGACAGAGTTCCCAGGTCAACGCCCACATTCCCAGTTTGTGTTTGTTTGCTCCAATTAGTCTTTGACATCTTTGCCTTACAGTCTGCCTGGAGCTCACAGGCCCCTTCACAGTTTACTTCTCGAGCTTCTCACGGCTTCACAGACTACTTCACCTTCGAAAACACAGCAGGAAGAGTAGTTGGTAGCTGACCACAGTTGAGTAAACTCGGGATTTATTTCTCCTAATGTCCCTGAAGCCAAAGGCTAAAAATAGCAGCTTGCGTTTTTGTCTAGTCCACACATCATAGTACACTTTCATGGCTTTATATTTTACCGAAAACAATGAACGTGTAGCCTGTTGCACTTTGGAGAGTCTAGGAAAACTTTATCAGACACAAATGGAAAAAAACAACTCAGTATGCAGCAAAATGGGTTCATACAGAGGGTTGTGGTATCAAAATGGGAATGTTTTCAGAGTAAGCTTCTCGGAAGGAAGGGAATAAAAAGCAGAGATGGTAAATCATCTTCAACAAATAAAAGCCAGATTTTAGTTTGAAGATTAAAGAAAATTGTTTTCACTTAATTTTGAAATGCTAAATATTACCATGTTATAAAAACAAAATTAAGAAGATAATCCTAGAATAGATTAGAATCTTTTATTTGTGCCTCAGTGTGTCACTGTGTCTCAGCAGCTATGAGAGAGGCAAAACAGAATGCGTTAAACACTCTAAAACAATGGTCATAGAAGCAGCATAAACAGGAACGATATTTACGGCTGTGCAGTAAAAGAATATAAATCGTAAACCGAAGTGAACTGCACCAGTTCTGTGCGAATTGTGTTTTTGTGTGATCTATTTGACTATAGACAGATATGTTCGATGCAAAGAATACAGGAAGAGAGAAAAGCAAAATTATGCAACTGAAACAGCACTGTTCAGTAAATGTGGTCGCATGAAGAAAACAATGGACTGAAATTTAATATTGATCTGTTGAACCTCCCTGAACCCCCGAATATTTTGTGTGTATAATTTTTTTTTTTTTTTTTTTTTTTTTTTTTTTTTTTATTTTATGTTACGTTTTTCTATGTAGCTTTAGCTACAACCTTAAATCTTAAGCTATTGATGCAAATGGCACAACATGAATTCAGGTTTTGCATTTTAGGTTGAACTGAACTAAATCGAATAGTTTTTTTTTTTTTTGTCTTTGTCAGCATTTTTCCAAACACTGTTAAAATGCACTTTTAAAATACATTACAACTGAAATTTGACTATTTTTTTTTGTCTTCCCATGTTGTTAACTTTTCTATTATTATTAATTTCTATTAAATTGAGTCATATGTAACATATATTTTAATATTTAATTCTACCAGTTTGCATGTGGCTTGGTAAAAATAAATGTGTATAGAAAATTTCTTAAATTTTCATTTGAGGGTTTAAGAGAATCTTCATTATCTTTTATGTATGTGATGATTAAAGTTGGTAATGGGATTTTTTTTTAAAAGTGGAAATAGAAAAGGGACAGATGGACGAAGAGATGGATGTTTCATCCCATCGTTTATGGTTGTTTATTTGTTTTGTAGGAAGCCTCCTTGGCTGTGGAGACAAATAGCTGCTGCGAGGACTGACCTCTGATTACACACATGTCCGGTTGAGTGCTTTTTAAACTGAAATATGTAACAATCTTTGACTACAGACCTTATGAAGACGTGTAAGAGAACATGAATTAATTTCAGTGAGATTAATTCCTCCGTCCTTCATCACTGAACCTCTCATGACGTTCGGAACGTTACTGTGGCCTGAAGGTGAGAAAATGAGGAACCTGAACATGCAGCATCATTCTTCTGAATGTCTCAATAAAACCTGCGCTTATCTCGAGATGTCCAGATTATGATAAAGTTTTGCAACAGCGGCATTGCATTTCTGGATTATTTTCTGATAGCTTTCAGTTGGCCTTTCTGTGTAAATTTCTCTTTCATGCACTAATCACGTTAAAGCGACGGTTGTACGTTAAACAGACTTTCACGACAAAAACAAAACCTAGTTCATCCTTTGAGGCTGCATTGATACTTTTAAGTGCATAAATGCATGAGCGTGAAGCATGCAAAAGCTGGTTGGTAATGCAGACAGAGAGGGAAGGCAGGGAAAGGAGGATGTTGGCTGGCGGAAGCTCTGCTTAATGCTGATAAAAGGAGCGCTTGGTTCTGAGGAAGGGAACTGCTAACTGCTGTGGTCGCTGGCATAGGCAGTGGAGAGGGAAACAGTCCGCACTTTATCACCACTTCACTTCTACTTATGTAATTAATTTGAATTGTTTAATACTTGTGAAAAACACCTCTAACATTTGACAAGAATAAAATGACCTGCAACAACTCTTTTTTTTTCCTCCAAATGTGCTGTGTAGGTGCATATTTTCCAAAAAAATAAAAACTAATGGCTTATGTAGAAAAATAATATATCGTAACAAATCCCTTTGAATGATTTTTGTTGTAAGCCTTAATAATAATTAATATTCACCTCTCTGCAAAGTTAACAGTCATTATCTGGTGTTTGCATGTTTCATTATGTTGATTCATTGTTCAGGTTTTTACTCATCGCCCACTCTACCTGTCATCGTTATCACTGTGGTATTGTGAACAATCACCTAGAAACTCCAATATATTTTTGATAAAAGAGAGGGCATGACACCCAAAGTTCTTTTAACCCTGAGCAAGTTAAAGGCAGCACGCTGTTTCCTCTCCACTCAGGGCAATTTTGAAATCTTAGCGGCTAAATTGTGTAAACATAGTGCCGTATTGCGACACTTCATGGTTCTTTACCACAACGCTGTTATAAGTAAGTGTCAAATAAGTTTATATCTCTTCATTGCACTTACTTCTCTAGATGATTAATTTAGATACACCGTTTTGTTTCCAGTAATATTCAAAACACTCGTCCAAAAGGAGCGAACTGTAAGGCCAAACAATGATGTCATTTATGGACTAAGACAGAGGGAAATCCCCATCAGCCAGCCTTTTCCAAACGTTTCCCAGAAGTGGGAAGTAAGATAATTGGAGTTGGTTAAATGTGGGAGGATCCAGAAAAAAAAGATGCTGATGAGCAGGAGAAAACTGAAAAAAGCCCAGCAAATTGAGTGATTTCGGGTTGCTACGATGCTTTACAAATAACTTTGTTGTGTGACACAGAGCTGAGTGTTCGCTGTAGTTGAAATGAGGTTTGAGAATATAAAATACATCTCTTGGTAAACCTGTGTAAAACAATTTGATCTGTCTATGATATGCCACTCATATAAAATAAGTATTTGAACAAATATTTTGCTAATCAATTTGATAATTATTTGCACTGCAATAATCAATTTGAGGAATATTGCCCCAGATTTGGAAGTCATTATAACACAAAAACTGCATTGATGAAAGCTACCAAATATGTTTTCATTAACTCAGGTGTTGGATTTTTGTCTACACTCATTAGGTTTTTCAAGTTTACCTTAGCAATGTGTTGAATTTCACTTTGCCTTCAGAACTGCCTCAATTATTTGCTTTCATATGCTTAGCAAGACATCAAAAACCTTCGTCGCAGCAACAGTGGTGTGAAGTGTTACCTTTCACCTCATCCATAGTTTAATATCTGATGATTGTGCAAATCATTGGCGCACAATGAAATAACATTCAAAAAACCATCTTGAGAAGATTTGAGGTTTGTAACATAGTGCATTATCCTGTTGGAAGCAATCATCAGAAGACACATACACCGTGGTCAGAAAGAAATGGACATGCTCAGTAATACTAGTTAGGGTATTGTCTCTAAATAATAAGATACTCCAGATGTGGGCTGTTAGATCTCACTGTTGCATTAGATGCAATCATAAGTGACAGAACCAGAGTGAACACTGAGAAAAATGTAAGCTGATGGAGGCAGTGTGATTTTTTTTTTTGGGGGGGGGCAATGTTCTTGCTAAGAAATATTGACTCCTGTGATTCATGTAGATGTTACTCTCTGACATTCTAAGCATTGTGGCATAGCAATATCTTTCAAGAAGACATTATCGGTTCCATCCTTTTCCAGAAAAAGTGGTTCAGGAATGGTTTGACAAGCACAAGAGCAAGTTTTAGGAGTTGACTTGGCCTCAAAATCCATCAGTTTCCATTACAAATAGAGCATCTGTGGATGTTCTGGTCAAACAGTCCAATTCATGAAGGCTTCATTTTTATGTTTAAGAAACTTATAGGAACTTCTGCTAATGTTTTGCTGCCAGATACCACATAGCACAGTTTCAAGTAGTAAATTAATAGGTCAGGAATGTTTTGACAGTTAAATGGGGAGCCATGGCAGAAAATCATAATGTTAGTCCGAAATTGCGTAGCTTGTGATTGTATTGTATTGTATTGTATTGTTTTGAATGACGTTATAGGACTGCACTGTATTGAACAGTAACAGTATATTAATTACTTTAAAGTATTGGACTTCTCATCTCATAATATATATTTTCTTTTTTACTGAAATTAATTTGTCTTAAACTCAGATTTGGAGCTCGGTAAGAACCTGTTTGTTTAAAAAAAAAATTACAACATTGAAGGATAACTTGTAATATAAATTTGAGTTAGAATAAACTGAATAGAACTACATGTAAAGCTGGATTTTTGTTTGTGTTATTAATGGCGCATTTTATTCGTAGTCTGACGGTGAATTTTCGACTTTCCAATCGGAAAAAATCAATTGAACTTGTTGTAACACTTACAGAATCAAAATGAAGTGGGGCTATGTATTTAAAGAAATATTAATTTATTAGAATATTAAAGTAATCATTAATGTTTCATCATAACTTTCCAATCAAACACAAAGCTTTAGTAGTCTTTAGCGGCTCTCACTCGCATGTGAAGTGATCTTTGCCCTATACGTACGCATAACGTAAGATGCTGCGTGGGCCAATAGGGAAGAGCCTCATTTTGGAGGTAGTAGGCTGGTGCTAGCCGGGTAGCTAGTTTGCTAACGAGAAAGAAGATGGATTCTCCAATACTGGTATTGTTACCGCTTATATTTTTTCGTCATGTTATACTGTTTTACGATAAATAACTAGTTTTAGCAATTATAAACAAAGAACTGCAGTTATAAACATGGTAAAATATCGGTATTATGCTCGTCAAGGAGCTAGATTGACAGGGAGCTAAGTCTTGGCTAACCAGTTGTTAGCTTCGTTTGTTGCTGATGTGGAAGTCCAGCGTCATTTTTACGACCTGTCTAGCATTTTAAAAAGTTTTCAAATATTTTATGAACAATTTAAGATTAGCTTTGCGGCATTCATTTAATTTACACTCTCGTTCCTCTCCGGATATAGTTTTCGCTGTAGTGTCCTGAAATGTGACAGACATATTTCTAATTCCTTAAATGATCGCTTAAAATAATGGGTTGTTGTTGGCGTCTCCACAGGAACCTTCCCTGCACACAGTCAAAGCTGTACTGATCCTGGACAACGATGGAGACAGGCTTTATGCCAAGGTAATAATTTTGTTTACTATGTAATGTGATTATATAATATTACCGAGATTTTATGCCTCTGAACTTCTCCTAGCATGTCATAATTAACAGTATCTAAAATAAGTTAATATATAATAATGGTGACGTACCTTTTTGTTTTTATCTTCATATATAAAAAGAAAATCACTAACAGTACATCAGCCACTTACAAGCTTTACAAGAATGCAAGTCATTTTAAGGGAAGCGGGTTCGATTCAATACAATTTTAGGTCTGTTGCATGCCTGCAGTAAATTTAACAGCCAAACTACAGATTTGTGCAGTTCAAAAATAATTTTACTGAATCCAAAATCAAATATTTAAAATTAAGCAACTTTGTCTATTCAGGACCAAGACCTGCTATGTTTTAGTTGATAATTTGCGTATAATTAGCTGTTGTTATATCATTTTTGTGTATATTTTAACACAGCTTTTTTTTTTTTTTTTTTTTTTTTTACACACAGTAGAAGCTTTTTTTATTACAAGAGCAAAGCTGTCTGTGTGTTCTAAAGAACAGATGCGATTAAACAAGACTTGAAACAGAACTAAACAATCTACAAGCTGCAAACAGTGCACAATAAACCTCCCAAATTGTGATGGCTGTAATTAGGTACTTTTTTGACAATGGTTTGTGGAATATGAAAAGTAAAGTAAAACAGCATTTGCTATGCTATTTTTCTGTAACCAAAAAAATATTCACCCTAAATGTCATTGAGCTGAAAACCCACACAGTTAATAATTATAAATATTATTGTATTGAATTTTTTTTTTGTAATTGACTGTCATTATAAAGAAACTTGTTGACTGAATCCTTTAACATATACGTGAGAAAATTTCTACATGGGTTTGATTTTTAGATTTTTGTTCAAAGTTGGGGGGGAAATAAAATCACATGTCAAGCGACGTCAAAACAGCAACAGTAGCTGCTTACTTGTAATGTTCGTGAAGATATCTGGGTCTATGCCCTTGGTTTAAAATATGACCAGCCTGCTTATGGTTGCATTTAGATTCAGATAAATACACCATGCTGATCTGTTTACAGTATTATGACGACACATATCCGACAGTGAAGGAGCAGAAAGCTTTTGAGAAGAACATATTTAACAAGACTCACCGGACAGACAGTAAGCAATGTTTTCTGTATATAAAGACTCATTTATTATTACCTCATTTCACATCTTAAGAGCATTGTGATTATTATGGTGTTTGTTTATATTTCTTTTTCTTTTTGTTGTTGTTCTATCCTTTAAGGTGAGATAGCATTACTGGAGGGCCTGACTGTTGTGTACAAGAGCAATATTGACCTGTTCTTTTATGTGATTGGAAGCTCACATGAAAATGAGGTAAACTGAAGATTGTGTAGTGTACTATTTGGGATGTAAAACATCCATCTGAAATATCACTAAATTTCACACAAAATAATCAAGTTTTATTTATTTTATTTTATTTATTTTTTTTTATTCAAAATGTTATTTGGTTTCATGGTAACATTTAATGGTTATTAATGTCCAATGACAAAGCTAAAATAATTCTAGGTTACCTTAAATGTCATCATGGTGTTACAACAATTTACGTAATACAGATATGTTACGGAGAACCACGCGTTACACAATTTAACATGCTTAGCGAGTTGAGAAGTGGTTTTATTAATTTTGCCTTGACTGTGTCATTTATTTAAGAAAATATAACATTTGTGCTTTTAAACTTCAAGTCTCCATTACTTAGACACACATTGAAATATTATTTTAATTTCAAAATAAAACAAAGTGTGAGTTTTAATATCTTCTCGTTTCTTCTCTTTACAGCTGATGCTTATGGCTGTTCTAAATTGCCTATTTGATTCCCTCAGTCAGATGTTGAGGTATTTTTTAGCACAATATCAATTGACCATTTAAAGTAGTGTCTAGGAAAACTGTGGTTTGTATTTATACTTTTTTTTTTTCTGCAGAAAAAATGTCGAGAGGAGAGCTTTGTTGGAGAATATGGAGGGACTCTTCTTGGCTGTGGATGAAATCGTGGATGGAGGGTATGTACAAAATTTTACAGCATGAAACCTTCAACGGCAAGATTTTTTTTTTTTTTTCACTATCAGCTGGTATCTTTGCGTACTTAATAATTTATTGAACATTTTGTGTCTCCCACAGGGTGATCTTAGAGAGTGACCCACAGCAAGTTGTGCACCGTGTGGCTCTCAGAGTAAGCTCTGCTCACCACCTTTCCTTCCAGAAATATTCCACAGAGTTTGGTCGTCCTTTTGTGAACTGTGTATGTACTATTTTTCTTGTAGGGCGATGATGTACCTTTGACAGAGCAGACAGTCACCCAGGTATACAATATATCCTCACTTTTTTTCACTCTTTCCTAAGTTTGAAAGATTCGTTAGATTATAGATCTTTAAAAGTCACTGTTCTACAATCTAGTATAAAGGCTGATGTTTTGCGTCATGTCCTCTTCTCCCGCTTTGTCACTTGCCTTCAGGCTGGTGTTTTTTTGTTGCCTTATATGCGCAATGGTGTGCATGATAACTAATTATTCAGTGGTAGAAGGTAGCCAGCGGTAGTTCCTGTCTTTTAGTTTCTATGCAGCTCTGTCTGTCTGTGGGTGTGAGCTCTTCTTGATTAATGTTGTCATTTAGGAGATCTGAGACCGGCCAACGCCATTCCTCCTATTGCAATGATTAATAGCTGTGTCCAGTCTCGATGCTTTATGGTTATGATTTGGCTTTCATTCAATCAATTAAGATGATTAATTAGGTCTTCATAATTCCTTTTCAATTATATCACTTAGTCATTTTTTTGTGGTATTACTTCATTTTTTATCATTACGCTAGGGTACATTAATTTTGTTTTTCTATTTTTTCTTTTTTTTTTTTAATTCACTTGAATGTTTGTTGCCATTGTGGTTTGACTAAAATTTTACTGTAGACGGTTAAAACTTGTTTTGTGTAATTAAAAGTATTTCTCTTTCGCAGGTGCTTCAGTCTGCAAAAGAACAGATCAAGTGGTCACTTCTCCGATAGTTGTCTTCACGCCAGCGTAACCAGTGAGCTGCTGCTCGGCACAGACCACATGGCACTGATCTCCTCACCTAGCCTACATTTGAGTCGAAGCTGTAGCAGTGCAAACGGCTGATCAAGTCACACTTTCGGACTTCTTCTTTCTGAAGTTTCCTTTTTTCATAATTTTTCTGTTGTCTTTTTGCTCTGTTTTTATTATCAAAGAGGCTAAAATGTGTACATTCCAGTAATGACTGGCCTGTTTTGTTGATTACTTTTACATTTTTTTTCTTCCAAATGTGATACACTGATAGACATCAAAACCTCTGAAACCATTCCATGTATCACTCTATCCTGACATATAATCCTTTGAACAGCATGCTGTCGTTCACAGATCATTGTAAAAACAATAAAGTTGTGTTAAATTTACATGTTAAATATTTGGAACCACTATTGCATTCATTATGTTTTATTTCCTAAATTGTTTAACATTTGTTACTTTTGTGTGCACTGAGGAAAACATAAAGCTTTATAGCTTTACATGGATTTAATGTTTTTTAAAATCATCCTCATCAGTTACTCTTTGTTCTTGTTTGCATAGCTTTACTTTAAGAAATAGGAAAGGAATTTTTATTAAAGTGAAAGTGTGCCATCTACCGGTAATAGGAAGGAATTACATAACGACAAGAACATATTTCTGGGGGAGGAATTTTATTCCTGCCACTAGAATCAAAACTTGATGTTGAATCTTGTAAAATGAAAAGTTGTATAAGGGAGATAAATACCTTATGCATGTTTATCTACTGATGTGCATCTTGGATGCCATGTACACCCAGCTGTCACACACTTGCTCCCTTCACTAAATAATTATGAAGGGGGGGAGTGAGCTGAAAGAAATGCAAGAAATAACAGACGTGACATCCATCTGATGTCTGATGCACAGTAGATTATTTGAAATTACCTTTCTGCCAGTTAATTCCAGATAAGAAAAGAAACGAGACTTAAAATTAGTAAGATTTTTACAAAAACAAATTGATTTCGAATGAACACTTCATGTGCAATCTCATGTCTATTCTCCTAAAGCACATAAATTGGTTTATAATGACATCCTTAGACATCCTTAAAAATACACAGAGGGTTTTAAAATGCTAACAAAATGTTTTCCATTTGAGTTTAAAGGCTTTTCACAATTACCTGTGTAATGGCATTTATTGGAGAAATTATGTTTTTGTAAAATGCCTCGAGAGATTTGTCGTGAATTGGCGATATATAAATAAACTGAGCTGAATTGAACTGAAAATAGAAAACATTACCCTGACCCATTAATCATATTATTTTGGCTTCGCTCCATTTTATCCTGACACATGCCCTAAATAAAGTGCTAGGATGATGCTACTTGCTAAGTGTTCAGTGGACAAAAGTAGTAAGAAAGAGGATGGTAATTATTATAAATGGTCCCCATTAATACACCAGTTTACTGTTATCACGCCAGTTTGCTGGTATAATGAGAACAGCTTATGTCTCAGTGTGCGGCTTTAGTGCAAGACGTGGGGGCAGGAGGGGGGTTTGAAGGTTAAAAAGGACGAGGCCTGCTCGGGTAGGCAGCAGTAAATGTAATTAGATGAAATCCCAGGAAGAGCACAGCATGGAAGAGAGCGGGTTAAAACACAATCCCACCCGGGATGCTTCTCCAAGCTCTCACTTTTCATTGAGATGGGCCTGCAGCACAATCGGCATCTCAGTGACTTGCTGTCATCCTGTAATTACAGTTGCACCATCATAAAAAGCAGCCAGGTAATTTATTTTAATTATACAGGAATGAGTACAGCAGTTAGAAGCGTCATGGCCTGACATACTGTACATAACATGCAGTAAAATTGTCAGAGACGTGTGCGTTAGAGTCTCGTAATTGATCGATGCATACAGTGAAGGACTCGGTCCTTTCTCTTGTGCGAGTGTGTGTTTGTGGGGAGGGGGCGGTGGGACTTTGTAAATTAGTCAATAAATTCTCATCATCTGCAAGCTCACAGAGTCTTTATGCCAGAGTCAATGGGCCCCAGCACCCATCCAATAGTATGTCCAGGTAAACGGACACAAATAGGTAAACTATGCATGCATGGAAACGTACTTACAGCACCGTGCACAATATCACCCCTGGTAAAGATGAGCGCAAAGCCTTAAAATAAATGCACGTTTTATTTATTTATATATATAAAAGTTTTATTGCTCCTATAGTGTTGTTCATGGTGGCAGCACGTTGCAGCAGCTCTGTTATGTCCTGATTTACTCTTTTTGTTGGATGTTTGGATAATTAATACCTTTGGTTTTGGATGTTGTGCAGATGGAAGGATTTTCACTCTTTTTCTTTTCCTTTTTTAACTCTCAGGCAGTTGCTATGATGCATTACTGTGGCAATAAGGCATTGTTTTTACAAGTGGGAGCAGCTGAAATAGCATCCCATAAGCTCAAATAATACTCGAGCTGCAACCCAAATTCCAGAGCAGTTGATGGATGCAGAGCAGGACAAAAGAGCAGAGAGAAGGAGGAAGTTAAAACCATCTCTTCCATTATGATGAGGAACAATCGCATCACCAATTTCAACGTCTTTGTAACCGGCCAGAGATTTAAAGAGGAGCGGCAGAGAAAATGAGGTGTATTAACAGTGCTTGCAGACAACTGATGGTATCATCCAGATCACGTTACTCTGAAATATGCCTGTCATTAGATTGTCACAGAGCAACAGTCTTCAGACAGAGGCCTCTTCAGATTCAGTAAGGCGGGACAAGGCATGTTTATTTGTATAGGATTATCAATACACAAGATAATTCAAAGTTCTTTACAGAAAAAGGATCTGGGATAAACAAATTTATATTAAGAACAACACAAAAAAATAATTGCAGTTTTAGCCAACGGAAAAGAAAACACTACGCTGCAGCTATGAAACAAATATGCAGGATAGGAACAATTTAGTGGCAGTAAACAAACATTTGTTCAGTCCTGATTTAATGAACCCATCAGTTTCTGTATATCTCTCTTTCTTTGAGCGTTTGTTCCAGAGTTAAGCAGCATATAAACTAAACTTACCCTCACCCCTCCCTTTTACAGGAATTAAAGAACAGAGAATGTAATCTGACAATCAGTTCTAAAATGTATTTACGACCAAGGCCATTCAGTATTTTAATGGTTCAAACACGATATTAAAATCTATCCTTTTAGCAAACAGTGAGCCAGCAGTATAGTGATTTAGGGTTGGCTTTAATATAGGCCATTTTTCTGTCACTGATCAGAACTCTGCTAGCAGCATTTTTGGAGGGGCTGCAGCTGTCTGTTTGACTTTTATAAAGACGTCAATACAATAACCTAACCAACTAAGAAATATATTCACCAGTTTTTCTGTTTCCTGTTTTAACAGGACACTATTTATTCAACTAATGATTTAAGATCCAAGCAAGTGTAGGAATATAATTTATTGTATTCCTAATATAATAAATTGTGTTATTGAAATTTTGATCTGAGGTTACAATAACAGCCAGATTTCTTGCATTCTTTGTGGTTTTAAGGCTTATTGAATGTAGTAGAGTTGGGATCTCCAACATATCTTGGAATAAGACAAGACTTTTCTTTTTTATGGCATAAAGTCAGAGGAAAATTATGGACACTCCAGCTCAGTTACTATACATGTGGTGACATAGAAATATAAAATTGTGTTATCAGAACAAACATAAGAAATGTTTCAGATGTTACTCTATTATGTGAACTAAGTGGAGAATGCAGATGTGGAATAAAACAGGCAGGTGAATCTTGCCTTGAAAAATCCCATATTTGATCTGCGTTTGCTCAACTTTATATCTCATTATAAAAATATAATTATAATTATGTAAAACACAAAGAAGCCCCAGTTTACATAATAAGTTCTCATTCTCCTTATCTGTGTAAAAAAAAATCTCACCAGCACAGCTACTATGATGCAGGGACAAGCGAAAAAAAACATACAGAGCATTGTTTTTATGGCACAGCATCCTGGTTTCTGTCAGAGAACTCTAAGCAGCTTATCCAAGTTTTACTAAACAGTAGAAGAGTCTATATAATTTCCTGGAAGCAGAAGGGAATATCTGTCCACATACCCATGACACCACAAAAACAACCAACAATAACCAAGAGGATCTTGCATGGATAAACATTTAGAAATAGGCCATTAAAAGCTACTTAAAGTGCTTGCAGTTGTGAATGCGTGCATGTAGAGTAGAGGAGATATGTGCCCAAGCCTACTCCCCCCCGTCCCCTCGCCTTCACGGCAGGCAGCATTGTGGCAGCCTGACATGGTTTATGGCCCCAGTTGCCCTCTCTGGCTCTGTTTATGGATTCCCATAGAAAAAAGAATCATGGCCACTCCAAGGAAACCCAGCCAAAAACAACACCTCCACCATTGCACTCTTGCCTGCCTTTGCCATAACTCAACTCACTATTTATGTCTCTAGAAAAAGGAGAAAAAACTTTTCATAGTAATGACATAAGATGACTGTAAATTCTGATGATAATGTTTAATTTTTTCGTGTCATTGTAAAATAAAAGTGTCACCACATGTGTGTGGTTTATTGGATGTCGTTATAAGTTGGTAAAAAAAAAAAAAAAAGAATGGGATTTTCGTTTTTGAAAAGAAACAGTGCAACCCCCATCCCCACCCTGCCATCACAGGTCTGATTTCACAGAACCATTTATTTCTCAGTATACCTGTAAGATTTAAGCTCATGAAAATGCTCAACTCTTATTGGATAATGAAATCATACCACCAAGGGAATTGTTTGCTGAAGAAATATTCCTTCATCTGATGTGTTTTGCTTGGGCTTTTTTCTGTGTTCCCTTGCTTATAACTCTTTCCAGAAAGCATTGAATTGGAAGATGGTCGAAGAAACTCTTTACTCTGGGTTTAAATGCTCCATGACCATGCCGTGTTTCTTCCAGGCTGGAAAAAAAAAAAAAGCCCTCCAGCGTTAAACCTTGTTTAGGTTTGCTCTGCTGCAGGGGGAATTCCAATGTGTTCTGAACTTGCACAACTGGGGCACATCTGGTTGAATGGGCTGAACTGGACTCTGGTTTACCCCCTGCTTCAGACCCCCACAGGCAGGCTGTAATCCAGAAGGCTTGCCACTAATGGAGTTGTGTCACAAAAGTCTGAGGCTACTGCTGTTATCAAACAGTCAGCACAAATGCACACATTTTGGTGTAGATATGATGCAAAAGAGCCCTAAAGAAGGCCCATCAGTCAGTTTTTATAGTA